TAGGAGTCGAAGTCAAAGTGAAAGGTGAATCCGAAGAGAGAGTCAGATTCGGATTTGGCATCGGAGTTGAAATTGGAAGCAGTCAAGTCCTGAGTAATCGTCGGTTTGGGATTCGGGTCAGAACCGGAGTCGGAATTGGAATCGGAATCAAAGAAGAAATCGCAATGAGGGCTAGGCCGGATTTAGAGAAGAAGCCAGAGTCGAGTCAGAATGAATTGGAGTCTGAGTCCGAATCTGGGTTGAAGTGAGAATGAGGATTTAATCGAAGTCTGATACAAAGTGAAAATCGGAGTGAGAGTCAGTCGGACTGTGATTCGGTATCAAAGTCAGAGTTGGAGTTGTAATCAAACTTGTAGACGGGGTCAAAATGAGTGTTGGATTTGGAGTCGGAGTCGGAGCCAAGAGTAGTTGGTCGAGTTGATTTGTCCACTTTCCTACGAGACGTGTAGACGCCTAAGCGGCTGGCGATGAAGAGACCTAGAAGGACGTATGTTTGAGTTTTTCGTTTCATACTCAAAAATTATATGGCTCCATTGGGATCACGAATTGCCCATCTCAGGCCAGAGTCATGCGAAACAGTTTCGGAATGGAGGACGAACATTCTTGGAAAAATGCAAGTCAATAGTAGGACAACCCTTAGTCTCCCTCGAGGTTGCATCCCAAATATATTCCCAGTTTAGAGGATATTTGAGGTCAGCCACACGGTTACGCTTCCGGTAGGAGGATATGAGAGTCAGAAGAGGCGAACTGGAGCATTAAATTGCCCCATGCCTTGCTCTCATGCTTCACTGGCTCCTTAATATATTCGCATTAATGGGTTATTTCGTAATTTGAAAAAAGTTTCCCATTCTCATCAAGATGATTTGAGGAGCCTTTGAAAGCGTGAATTTAACAAACGCGAAGCCGAAGCGGCATACTGTTTTGGGTCGATGATGAGCGGAAAAATTTATTATTTTACAAATATTGGTCAAATGTAGACGTTTTGTTTAGTCCTGCTCCGAATTCTCGAGCTGCTTTCTTCGGCTGTACCCGCATGGTAAAGAGAGTAGCAATTTACCTGAAGGTGAGCGAAACTGGCCGAAATAGAAGATAAAGCCATCTGAATGTGCATATAAGTCACTGGACAAACTGGTGGACCAATAATTTTCGAACCGCTCTTACGTGCCCAGTCACCCATAACTACTTGCATGCTATCAGTAGGCTAATATAGTTTAGTGGCAAATACAAGCTTTGCTATAATTTATCATTAGTCTGTTGGCTACTCTCCACATTCGCATCTGCCAATGAGAAGGTCACTTTGTGGTGGTGCAACCGATCAAGTCTCGTTGGCGACCAGCAATCCCATTAACGGATGCTCTCGAGATGTCGTGGCTTGATTGCTAAACCGACCCGAGAATGGCATGCCGCTGGCATGTCTGTGGCTCGGGCCCGGGTCTGCCAACTGGACAGTCCAAGTCAGAGGACAGTTAAACAAT